CCCCCCCCCCCACCCCACCCCATTTTTTTGTTTATTGTTGTAATTTATACCTTTCCAATTAAAAACTGGCATGTGTTTTTTAGGTTGTATCTTTCACTTTTGTTCAAAACGTGTCGACGATTCCTTTTTAATACACTTTATTTGCATTGGTACAAGAAAGTGTACTATGGAGAATCAAACCTGCAGAAATTAAAAATAAATAAGCAAATAAATAAATAATTGTGTGTATAAATACACGTATTCTTGTTTAAATACATATATAAATAATTAAATGTGTGATTAAAGTAGGCAAATAAATAAAATTAATTAGTGGGCAAATGGAAAATGTTTAAAGGGGTCATATGATGTTGCTAAAAAGAACATTATTTTGTGTATTTGGTGTAATGAAATGTGTTTATGCGGTTTAAAGTTAAAAAAACACATTATTTTCCACATACTGTACATTATTGTTGCTCCTCTATGCCCCGCCTTTCTGAAACGTGTCGATTTTTACAAAGCTCATCGGTCTGAAAAGCGAGGTGTGCTCTGATTGGCCAGCTATCCAGTGCGTTGTGATTGGCCGAATACCTCAAGCGTGTGATGGAAATGTTACACCCCTCACATACTGTTGATGCCTTGTCTGACCGGAGCGACGAGACAAAAACATTAAAACCCATTATAAACGAGGCATTTTTTTATTTTGTTTATTTATTTTTGTGGGGAACTTTTACCGAGCATGTACAACATCAGTATGTTGTCTTTGCCAAGCACACAACATAAGCACGGGTTTATGGAGAACGAAACCTGCAAAAACAATAAATAAATAAATACACAATTAAATAAATAAATATGCAAATAAATAAATAAATGTGTGTAGGCAAATGAAAAATGTTTAAGGAAATGCTAAACTCATCCTATTTATTTTCCTTTGATCACTCATTTATTTCTGAACGTAGTTCCGCAATTATTTTTCCTCTGCACAACATGCTAATGAGAGGGTGTCAACCATGGACTTGGTCGGGTCTTGTGATAGCTGGGGGCGCGGCTTTCCCGCTGACAGGAGAAGCATGGTGTAAATCCAGTATGGCCTACGTAAAGTCACTTTTTCCGTTCAACAGAGCAAGATACACAGAAAAACTGAGCCGTATTGTACGTACAGTATCTGTGACTTTACAAACGACCCAACGGAATAGTCAGAGGTGTCATTTCCAGGTATTCGATATTCGCAAATCTAGGGACCGTCTCTAAAGTTACATTCGACATTGGTATACACTTTTCTAACTTCAATAGCATTTGAGGAAAATTACTTACAGTAACACAACCAATTGTGAAGTGTTCATGTAGTTCTCCGTTATAATGCACACCTTTTAGATTTTTGATACAGACATGTATTTATTTATTTGCATATTATTTATTTATTTGTGTAATTATTTATTTATTTCTGTTGCAGTTTTCGTCCTCCATAGTGTACAATACAAACGTACCAAATACAAAAAGATTTTCTTCCAGATCCAACATAATTTGTGGTTAGAGTGAGGGCTCATGGTTTTTATTGCCATTTATTTATGTTTGTCTTTATTTATAATGTCACACCTCAAAAATGTGATTGGTGAGTAATGCAGCTTGTCTGTCAGCGAATCCTAACAAGCTCTGAGACTCTAGCAAACTGTACCATGGCCACCGATTCATTTGCTATTGCTGTAAGGTCCTTAACCAGATTCCTAATCATAGGATAGCTTTTCTTGTCATTTGTGAGCTTGATGGTCCCAGTCCTCCTTCATTATATGGAAGTATATAATCTAAAAGTTTCACAGAAGTAGGTATAGGTTTGTAATGACATGTGGGTGAGAAAATTGTGCAGAATTTACATGTTTGGGTGAACTATTACTGTATTAACAACCATAAAAAATAAATAAAATAAACAACTAAATATTCATAAGTGCTCAGCCAGTTCAGATTGACAGCTTCAGTCTGTCTTTAAACCAAATATAGTTTTTTCCATTAGTTTTTATTAATCCTATTGTGACACAATTCAAATTAAAATGTAAAGTTTAGTTTTCGTTTTATTGTCTCTTTTATTTGTTTTTATTTTCAAAGTCAACCTGTATGCAAATTCTGTGTTAATCAGTGGGCAGGCCTTATTGTTCACGTGACTAGCGTGTCTGCGGGTGTAAGTATGGAGGCCCGTTTCTGCCACAGTTGAGTTTAAAATATGATTCTGTCATAATAATGAGAAACTTTATCATATAATAATGACTTATGATAAAGTTTCTCATTATAAGATATTTAGTCATTAATATGAGAACGTTTCTCATTATACAGACCTGACTTTTTACTCAACTTGAACAATAAGCCCACTGATTAACACAGAATTTGCATACAGGTTGACTTTGAAAATGAAAACAAATAAAAGACACAATAAAACAAAAGCTAAACTTTACATTTTAATTTGAATTGTATCACTATTGTTGCGTGAGCATTAATAAAAAGCTTTGTAAAAACTGTATTTGCATTTTCTTTGCCACTTTTGCCTTTTCAATTTAGTACTGGCAGTCTTGCCTCGAGATTGCAGTGAAAATGAAATGTCAAATCACCAACTGCATTTTATTTTTTAATTCGACAGGGACGATGCGTTGTCACAGTGAAAATTAAAATGAAAGATAAATCATTTCATTCATTTTCAATTTTGCCACATATTTTGTGTACAGTTTTCTATAATGAAATTGTTAATCTGGTTTTCATTTTTAATTGAATTGATTTATTTAAAATTGGCAGATGATACCTTCCATATCTGGTTGTGTGCAGTCTAAATGTCTTGTGAATGGTTCATTATAAAATCATAAAATGGTTATTTTTATTATAGTAATTTAATGGCAGTTACCTTTAATGTTGTAAATGCTACCATTGAAACAGATGGAGATGCTCTGCTTACTGGTGAAGTCAAAATGAAGGAACAGTGTGTGAATATAATGTCTTGCGTGAATTCATTGCTGCTTTGTCATATGGAAACAAAAAGTGCCACATCAGAGGAAAATGAAGTAAAATCTCAGCACATTTTCCCCCCCACAGTGAATTCTAACATATCACAAAGATTAAGGAAACCTTTAGCAAAGATCTCACTAAACCTTAAACAAAAATACTTAATTATGAGCAGTATAGCCACAAAACATTTACAGTGGTGTTACACATTTCTGAAGACTTTCTGAGCATTAATACATGATTTCATAAAGCACGGTCAAATTATCTTCACATTTACGGATCATACATAAAATAGATTTGTGACATTTTTTAACAGAAGAGCATTGCATTACAAGACATTTTGCACAAAACGTTACAAAGCAAAGGTGTAATTTTCCATGCTTTTCAATAATCAGATGAAGAACGTTAGATGAGGATGTCGCCAAGAGTGAGGCAAGCAGATCCACAATCCCCAAAAGACGAGCAAGAGCAGAAATCTAGACTTTTACAGATTTTGCAACTACAGCTGCATGCTTTGCCGGTGGTGCAATCAACAAATCCGTCTCCGGCAATGTCCTTTAGTCTTACACAACGAGCATGTGTGCGTGCTGATGAAACGAGAAATGCAAAATGAGCACAACATCATAAAACCCGTCATCAGACAGCTGAGTTTCCAGCTTCACAGCGTTTGCCCTCATTACAGTCCAGTGTTTTTCCAGCGCTCAGTGACCTGACGGTGAGAGAAGCCTTCATCGGTCGGAGCCTCAGAGGAAGCCGTCTTCTCCAGAGATGTATGAGAAGCCGTTGAAGGCGTTGGAGCTGCTGGTGGCGAGGCTGGGGGTGGGATCTGGAGTGCGGCCCACAGAGTTGGGCACCATCTCTCTGGTGAACTCTGGGTCAATGTGCTGAAGGTCTGCTGGGCCTCTCTGGAGAAACATGGCAGAACTCTTATTACACATATCGCCTTCAGTCTAACACTGAAACAGAACTGAACGTGTACATAAAGATGTACAGTTATACTCTTTGTATTGGTACTCTATAAGGACCAAAGGCCAGAGGGAGTTTGTGAGAACCTACCACATTTGGGTTATATGGAGGAGTGATTCGCTTGTGGTAGAGGTCGTCCCAGTTAATGGGGGCAAAGAACACATGATTTTTAATCTCCAACTGCAAAACCAGAACAGTTGACACATTAACAGTGACGCTTGGCCTGATAAACGGTTTCACAATGACAAAGACCTCCAGAGGATCAGACTCACAAAATCAGCAATGGCTCCTATCCGGCGACGCTGGTCTTTCTGCAGGAGTCCGTACAGCAGGTGACTCGAGGCCTCCGACTTCCCTGGCGCCAGCTGCAGAGGTTTATGCAGGATCGCGTCGTACATCTCAGACACGTCCCGGCTGTAGAACGGAGGCTGTGTGCCACAGTCATCCCAAATGAAGTGTGATTATAATCCATTGCGTTTGGGCCAAGAAGATTAAAATATATCCAGTGAATGGGTGAACTTACTAAGCTGTAAAGCATCTCATGGAGCACAGCTCCGAGACACCACCAGTCCACAGTGCGGTCATACGGCTCTTTCCGTAGGATCTCAGGAGCCAGATACTAAGAGTGAGAGAAAATCACATGACTTTGTCAACCTGGAAAATGTAATACACTCACATTAAGCAGTATGTACAATATGTGACCCTGGAGCACAGAAGCAGTGTTAAGTCGCTGGGGGATATTTGCAGCAATAGCCAGCAATACATTGTATGGGTCAAAATGATCGATGTTTCTTTTATGCCAAACATTTTTTTGATTAGT